TCAGACGTCCGAAAAGAAAAGATGTACTCTCACGTTATCAGTGCACAGAGTGTGATGTAGGCTTATGCCTTGTTGATTGTTTCAAAGATTTTCATACTCTACAAAACTTTTAAGAATAAATAAACATCTGTTTCAATATTTGAAACGTTTTGTGTAAAATTGTATCTGAAAAATTAAACCCGTAGCCAAAGGGTTAACAGTAATAAAACAATTGAACAAGAGTTAGCAGTTGTCACTGATGCAAAGCTACATGAACAATACGTTCTGCAAAAGAGTCAACAGAAACAGAAATATTAAATTTCAATGATATATCAGATCATGTAACACGTTTAACAAAACAAATTGCTGATGATGGTGTTAATGTTAGGTCTGATCCAATATATTTAACTGTTTATAAACATGATATACCAGATTTAACACTAATCGATTTACCAGGAATTACAAGAAATCCATTACAGGGTCAATCAACAAATATACACACACAAATATTAAATTCAATTCGAAAATATATTGAACCAAAAACAGCTATTGTTTTACATGTTATTCCAGCATCTGTTGACTTTTCAGCATCGGAATCAATGAAAGAAGCTAAAATCTTTGATCCTCATTGTCGTCGGCAATTGATAGCTGCCTCAAAAATTGATAAATTTGACAAAGGGATCAGTGATAAATTACAAGGCACGGGGCCTGATTCAATGGAATTAGCATTAGGCTGCGTAGCTGTTCTCAATCGATCACAAGACGAGATTGATCAACGTATCAGTTTTGACGAAATGAAATGTCGTGAAAAACAATTTTTTATTAACCATCCAGAAGCATTTCAAAATTTACCACCAGGTTACAAAGGTAGTGAGCAATTAGTTAAAAAATTAGCATATTTACAGCAAAAATGAATAAGATCAACATTTCCAGACATCATTGATGGTTTAAAACAACGAATTCGATTAAAAAAACATGAATTAAAACAATTACCACCATCAGTTACATCAGAATTAGAATGTTGGACAAAGTTTAATGAATTAATTAACAAATTTAGAGAAAGTATACAGCAAAGAGTAAATGGAAACTATGAGAATGAAACAATGAAAATGATTATGACTAAATCTGCCAATGAAATATTTGATTCAGATGATAAATCGTCTGAGATTTCGATTGGGTAAGAGTTTTAAATGTTTTAATGTCTTCCTGTGGAACGGAAGAAAAGAAAGAGGACTTTATATGACTATTAATGTACATACATTTTGTAGCGAAGAGTAAATCTTATGAGCAAGCATGAAGGAGAATTCTTTAGAAATTTTGCACAAAATGTGTGTGATTTTTTCACGAAAGCAAACTTTGTCTTTAAATTGTAAGGTGCCTGTAACTCAGAGTTACACTAAGAGTTTTTTTTTCTGATCTTCTATCATGATTGGATAGAGCTCACCC